CATAATGAGTCAAGACAGATGTACATTTTGTGTTTTGCAGATATACACTAATAATTTCCTACTTATTTGCAATGCTGGCTGCAGATACGTTGGCTATTTTCCCAGGGTTTCTTCCAAAACAACAACAAAGAGAAACCTCAGCCAACTAAATGCTGGCACATCCTTAAAATGGCCCTTCAGATTCTCTTGTTTCTTTGGTAATGCCTTTGCATATTGGATCATGTGCTGCACCTACAATCCTATATGTAAAGTGGGGCTGAATTTGTTTCTCTTTCCAGGAAATCAGAACTGCCTTAGGAGTGTCAGATCTAATGTTAAGTTAATACAGTTTTCTCCCTGTGATGAAACACCTTGTTGCCACTCATTGTCCAGTCAATGATGAAAAAATTAAGAAAATAAAGGGGAAAGAGAAAAGAAAAGGCTGAGAAAGGTATGTAATTCCTCTGTCAGTTTAGATCACTGCACTGTAAAAAATAACTCTACCTGCTATAGGAATGAACAGTTCTTCATTAAACGAGGAGGTTTGTGTGTGTTTCAGATGGGCCTCAACCGGCTCCAGTTTCCTAGGTTGATTTAAGAGCTTTCTTTTTAGCAGGTTGGTAGCAGGTTAGACATGTTCTATCCACTCAGAATTGGAGCTGTATGGGGAAGATTGAGTGAAAAAACTGATTTTTTATCAGACACAATAGTTGGGGTGTAATGGAAAACGAGAGTCTGAAAGAAGAAGGACCTGGGAATTGAGGAAATACAAAAGGGAGGAGTCCCTTGGGGGCAGATTCATATCCACTGAAGTGGAGGAAATATATAGGCTTTTCTGTCCTTCTGGCCTCTCATAATAGCAAGATGAAGAGGAGAGTAAGAAGTATGACGATAAAAATAAAGCTCAGGCTGCTCAGGGCCCCATCTAACCTGGCCATGAACCTCCAGGGAAGGGGTATTGCAGCTTCTCTGGGCAGTCTGTGCCAGTGCCTCACTGCCCTCTGAGTAATGAATTTCCTCCTAACATCATACCCAGGCATGTTCAACCCATGGCCCATGGGCTGCATGAGGCCCAGCACAGCTCACAGTGCAGCCCGCCACAGGCCATATCATAGCAGTGGTTCTTCGCTGCTGAGTGGCCCAGCCCCTATATAAGTTAATTATACAATATATTTAATGAAGGTTGCTTGGAAAGTTATGCCTCCTATATTACGTTGAGTGATGGCATAAGAGGCAGATGGTGGTATGCCGGTAGAGGCTGAACCTTCCCACCAGTATTCCATTACATATTGTTGCTATGTGACAGATAGCAGCAGAAGGGCGATTTGACAAAATGGTGTCTGACATGGAAATGTGTATGAAGCAAAGGTGTGTCATTGAACTCCTCCATGCAGAAAAATGTCACCCACTGACATTCATTGATGCTTGCGGAATGTTTGTGGAAACCAAACAGTGCATGTGAATACAGCGAGGCGGCGGGTGGTTTCTGTCAGTATTGGCAACAGCAACAGTGGGTTACCTCTGCTGGAACAAATTTTTACAAGTGTGGTATGAAAACTTTTGTTCATTGCTGGCAAAAGTGCATAGCTCATGGTGGTGACTATGTGGAGAAATAGTGTTAATGGTGTTTTGTAGCTGAGAATTTGCTTTATCAAACAGTGTTATCATGCCCCAGTCCTGGATGCAGTACTCCAGATGGGGCCTCATGAAGGCAGAGCAGAGAAGGACAGACCCCTCACTCTCCTTGCTGGCCACCCTTTTTTTGATGCAGTTCAGGATACTGTTGGCCTTCTGGGCTGCGAATGCAACATCTTGAGAGGCACCAAACAACTAGGGACTGTATGTGCTTTTTGCATTGCACTAACACACATACACTCAGTACAAGGTAGAAATAAGTCCTCCAGCCCCATCCATATGCAATCCATATGGAGAGTGGTCGTTCCCTTCAGCCTCGGGGTGGCATTGTGGTGGTAGCTTAACAAGAGGAGTGGTTGGATGGCATTCCCTGATGCGGACATGTGCAATGTGTTTGCTTTGGCATAGAGTAGCACTGGCCACTGCCAGTCAAACAGCAGCAGCTAATAAGCAAGCTGTGTCTTAACACAGGTCCCGCAAACTCACCTAATCCCATCATCAGAGCTGGTCTTCAGACAATTTACTAGTAATGCCTCAATCCTGACTTACAGCAAGGCTGGCTATTCTAGTCTTTTATGGTGTTGGTCTTGGTGTTTCCAAGATGCTAGGAAGTCTTACAAACTATACTTTTCAAGCAGGTACACTTATGCTGCCTACGAAATGTCTTTGTTGATTTACGGCACCTTCCAATATCTCACATCACAAAGATCCGCTACCTTCCAAAAAAGGGGAAACTTGCTACAAAAAGGAACATATTATCACTACCTGGAAGTTTCCTGAGATTTCATAAATTAATTTTTTCTTTTATCCCTAGTTATACTTCTCTTCCTTCTTGTAATATTACTGTCCCTCCTTTATATCTGACTGTGTCAGCAATTATCCCATTTATTTTTAGTCATTGCTTAGTGAACTGATGCATACTTTGCTCTTTCCACCTTTCCTTGTAATTAGATGTCTCCATTCCAGTAATCAATGTATATTGCTATGTCAATAGCTTTCGGTTATTGAAGTGCTCAGAACTGAAAATAATAGTTTAGGTGTGGCATCTGTAGAGAAAGAAAAGCAGGGCTTGCTGCTGTATAATGCGTAAGGTGCTTCTGTGCATGAAGAAGAGTGTTTTATTGCCTTGCCAAAGTCATATGCAATTTGCCCTCTATTATGACCCATAGTCATCTTCCAGTGTTACAGCTCTCTTTTTCCCATTAAGCACCCGTGGTTTGGGTTACTTTCCTCCCTCCCTCTCTCCCTGGATCTCATCAGTTACATTTTTTGCCAAGCTGAATGTTTCATTTGGGTTATTTCTTCCCATTGTTTCAATTTCTCCTGTTCTCAGTTTGTAATTTCTCTTCCTTGGCTGCCTGTGAAAGCAGGTCCTCACATCCTCTCTACTCATTCCTCCAAACTGTTCCAAATCTTCAGTGAAGATATTAATGAAACCAGAGTAAAGAATGGAACAATAGCAGCTTCCCTGCAACTCCTCTTCTGAACTTTTCTTACTGGGCACACATCAGTGCCCATGGCCTGTAGTTAGCTTTCACGTTCTATCATGTCCACATCTATGCACTCTTGGATTTGTTTGCCACTGTAAGAATGCACAAGATGCTATACAACATGCCAGCCGTATAGGACTGACAGAATGACACCTAGTGCATTTTTATTCTCCATCATCACCATGTTGTCAAGTATGTTAGGAAAGCAAGCTTGCATGCCCTGGTGGGTTTAATTATTTCCCATCACACCTAACCCACAGTGCTGCTCTGTATTCTTCTCCTGTCAGCTCGCTTTCTTTAGTTGTACTCCTCAGCTTTGCTGCACAGCATTTCTCTCCAAAGCCCTTCACAACATCTCGCACACTGATATACATCCTCAACCTATGGTGTACACAGCCCTTTCAGTTTCCCCTCCAAGCTCACTGCAGTTTACAGAACCAGAGTCTCAGCTGCTATAAATTGTCATAGCGCCACAGAAGTCAATTGAGCTATGTGATTTGTTCACCAGCTGGGCATCTGGCTTGGATTTTATGAAAGGCTATTTGCTTGGACTGCAAATATGGCACTGAACATCCCTAGGGCCAAGTGAGCTTGGGGAAGAAAGGAGAAAATAGAATAAGCAATTGCAGAATAAGCCAGCTCTAGCAGCCAAAGGATCTGGAGGAGGGCCAGGTAAGACAGAAAAAACTGTTAGCAGGGACCTCTCGACTCTGAGCATGACACCACTTTGCTTCTTGTGCTGGTCTCTGCTCCTTGTTCTGATAGGCCACCCAGCCCTCCTTTACATGAGCTCCTTTTCTTAGCATTGTGTCACTGCTCGTTTGCTTGTACTACAGCAGTACATATGCTCAGATAGCAGACTCTTACTGTGCAAGGTACTGCACATGTACTAAAAGACCTAAAGTTTACCCTTGAAATCTGAATATGGCCTGCGTCAGGTAGATGCAGACAGGCAACAGACTATTACTGTCAAAAAATAGGAGGATCGCTGTCCCTGGAGATCTTCAGGAACCATGTATGTGATGTAGCACTGAGGGACATGGGTAGTGGGCATGGTGAGGATGGGTCAACTATTGGACATGATCTTAATGTTCTTTTCCAAACTTAATGATTCCCTGATTCTATGAATAATTCAGGTGCTGCTTCAGAAATCTCACAACTACTATCCTAGAGATCCAGATCTCCCAGAGGGCCCCAGCTGGCCCATGTAACTCCCTGCTTCCCATGACTTAGCACAAGACCAAGCGTCCTTGCTGAGCCCTTGCATATGGTGGTCAGAACAGAGCTAGGTGCTCTCCTGCTGTCTGCTCTTGACTCTGACCGGAAACTACAGCTCTCTCCCTGGGAAGGAGCTCTTGCTGTTCACCTCTAAGAAATAGTTTATTCTTGAGAAGGAGAAAACCTGAGGCTTCTAGCAATCATTAGGAAAGCACTGAGGCATATAAGCTGTAGGATTGTTGGTCATTTGGGCAGTCCCCAAGAGGCATTCATGTAGATGGGAGGGTGAGAAATGTGCCTTACACAACATATGTAAATGGCAACCAATTTTTCTTTTTTTTTTCTCTCTCCTGAGTGCAAAAGGCCTATAAAACAATTAGAGCTTAAAATTGGACTCCTGGCAGAGAATGAGAGAGGGAGTTTATGCCTTGTTAAGTGTAATCAGTCTGGTGATAAGGGGACAATTTCAGCTGTGTGAGATATAATTACATCATAAACTCCACATTACAAACAGGGCAAGCAGAGGTGAAAAGGTAAAGAGGAAATAAACAATGATGCCCTTTGGGGAACGTGACAGAGGAGACATTTCTGGACTCCATTTCCCTAAGTGAGAAACTTTTCCAGAGGGAATGGGAGCTGCATACATGCAGGAAGAACACACTTCAGGGCTAGCGCCTGTCCTGGTCCTCCCAGCAGCTTGGAAGGGGTGCTTTGCTGTTGCTACACCTGAGGTTTTACATCTACCAGCTGGAGAGGAATTTTACTTTGCGTCAGTTAAATATTAAGCATATTTCAGAAAACAGACAAACGTTTCTTTGTGACCTGAAGCCGCAGGAGAGCATCTGCTACTGTAATGCCAGTTGAACAATGATGACAGCCAACTATGAAGAGAAAGGAGGCACAGAGAGTTCGGATTGTAGTGAAGCTCAGCACCTTGCTGTGGAGGACAAGGCTTCCTGCAGGAATGTGGACATGCTGGTCTGAAATTTATCACACACAGGTCCTAAATCGCAGACATGACCCTCAAGATGTCCCACTGTGGGGAAATCTGGCAGGTGATGATAAAACACCAGCTTGTCCATCTTCCAGGCTACCTGCAGTAGTGGTAGGAAGGGGTCTCTTCTATATGTAGCCTGTCAGGCATGGGGGCCACGGGAGCCATGCACAAAGCTGGCTTACCTTGGAAACCAACTCTGGTCAGACCTATATGGGGATATATCCCAGAAAGATAGTTCTGAACAAGGGTGATTTCTTGGGTCTCATCAGGAAAAAATAGGAAGGGAAACATGTAAGGTATGTCAACATTTGCCAATTTATGTTAATATTTTTAGATATGATGTTTTGAAATGAAGATGAAGGAATGAGAGAGAAGCAGCACAATGTGGTGGACATCAGTTTATTTGTTTGAAAACAGAATTTGGAAATTCAGGATTTCTCAGTTTAAGGATTTGAATTACTGGCAAATGATGAAAATAATTCTGGGAAGTTCTTGTTTTACAGTTTTATCTCTCAACAAATAGATGGGAATTTTTTAACCGGTTGTGTCAGAAACTTTGGTTCCCATTTCTGTTTTTTGCTGCTAATGACTCATGTCACAGAAGAGAGAACTGTGCCTAGTTCTGAGATCAGGCACAGTTTTAGTCTTTTCTTGTCATTATGTACTGTGTAGTGACAGATAAATCACTTAACCTTTCCATGACATACTTCCCCATCTGTAAAATGAGGATGATAATCGTATTTGCTTACTTTACAAAAGTGTTAGGAGAATGAATTATCACTGTTTTTATAACCATTTATATCTCTCTCTGGGGCAAAGACTGCTTTTTCTTCCTTGCTCATGAAACAGCATAGTCCTGCTCTTTAATAGAAGTCCCTAGGTGTTATTATGATATAGAAAGATAAAAATTAAATATAACTTTTGACAATGTAGCAAACAAAGTGGGTTAGATTAAAAGAGATGGAACATTTCTTTTTTCAGTGCTAAAGAAATGATCAATTAAGTATAGTGATATTCTCCTGAAATATAACCCTATCTGAAAGTGGGTGGTGTAACCCTCCTCTGGCAACCATTCTTTTGCAAAGGACAGAGAAAAAATGATTAATGTTTATACAGTTCCATGAACAGATAATAATTATTACTTAGATTAGAATGCTTGTAGTCTTTGAACAAGAGCAAGTTGCGTTAAGAGCTTTGCAACGCTGAAGCTGGAAATGGTCCTCACCCTAAAGAGCATGAGATTAAGAGAGCAGGAACTTGAAGTTAAAAGTAACAGCCTGTGTCAAAGGAAGTTGAGACATGCACATCCAAGGATACACAACAGGTCACTGCCAGAGATGGAGATTCCTAATCTGATATTATTCAACTCACTCATGCTGCTATCTCCATTAAGTATTATTCATGCTCTCATACTGCAGGTTACCATCATTCACCTAGACTAGGTATTTTTCTCAGAAAGGGGCACAGAGTGGCTATTCTGGAAACTCACTGAAATGCAGGCCAATGAGAAGGAAGGGAATGAGAGAAGTCTGAAGTGGTTTGCAGAAAGGGGACTGACATGGCAATAGTAGGTAGTGCTCAATGCTGTGACTTCCACAAATCTCAGGACCAAGTCAGTCATGAGTGAGATGCTCAGAACTCAATGACATTACATGTAAAAGCATTAATAAACCCCTGTTGCTTGTCACCCCTCCTTGCCTTAGAGAGGATAGTTTTTGTCATTTTCTTGAAGCAGTAGCATCACAGTTTCTAAGAGGCACCTTTCTGAATTTGGTTTTCCAGGTTGTTTAAAGAAAATTCACACCCTGGAGGATGAGCCCCTGCCTTTCCTGCCAAAGCCACCAAAAGGAAAACGTTGGAGATGGGCTTACTGGGAGAAACACTAACCAGACAGGACATCATGGAGTGCTGGACAAACGGTATCCGAATGTGATCAGCTCAGGGCTGTGAAACACAGTGAGACCTGTAAAAAAATGCTCTGTATTTACTTGAAAGAAAGCCAGACCCCATCAGACAGCCTCACAGCAATATGCTGTGTCCCATTGATGTTTCACATCTAGAGAAAGAAAAGCAGAGAGCAGCCTCAGAGAGGGATAGCCAGCCCCATTACAGTTGCCTGCCATGGGATGCAAGGTCTGTGAAGGGGAGCAGGTAGCACTACCTCACAGGTGTTCTCAACACCATTGTCTTATCCTGCTGTGCCTTGTTCCTAGCCTCAAAGTTGGAGCAGGGACAGGATCTTCCCATCACCCAGGACAGTGCATCCTTCTGGGTGATCCATTACCAGTTGAGGATATGGCCTTGACAAGGATGAGAGCATTACAAATCCTGTCTATGTCTTTTTCATTACCAGGAGGGTGTGAGGTTGCAGTGAAGCATGAGGCTGAAAGAGAGAAGTGAAGATAGTGAGCATGATTGCAGAGGCTGCCTGCACAGCTGCTGGGACCCATGCCAGGAGAGGAGAAGTGGGTGCTGAGGATCTCCACATACCCTCCAGTCACACCACCCTTGTGCAAAGTACAACTATCCACAGAAAACTTAGAGAGAAACATTTTTGGTTGTATGCTTTCAGAAGCAAATAAACAAACAAACAAAAAGACAAGCTGAAAACCCAGTGGAGGTCTGCTGTATTTTTGTCACTGCTAGTCCTTGCCCAGCTTGGCAGCCTACACTTCTTGGTTTGGCACCAAATGGTCAGCAGAGCGTGCAGAGCACAGAATGCCAGGAGCACCACACACAGAGCTTTACGTGCAGAGGTGATGCTGCACACCTTTTGTTTCTCACAGTCAGCAGCTGAAGGAGTGTGATAAACCTGAGCACCACAAGGAAGCCAAATGAGTTGTAGTGAGATCCCCGTTACCTCGCATGAATCGGGGCTGAAGACCCCTGCTATGAGTTCTCCCCATGCTGCCCTTTCCAGGGGAAAAGGCAAAGAAATTGTTTAATAAATAAAGAACTCTGACAGCAGCTGGAGAAGAGCCCAAAAAGTTGAAATCCGTCATCAGCATGAGAAGGGAACAAAGAGAGAAATAATGGCACACAGTCCTGACACAGCTACTTCTTGGCAGGAGAGAAGTGTCTGCACAATTCAGATAACTTCCAGAGAAAGTAAGTGCTATTGGAGCTCAGCGGAAAGGAGCGAGGGGCTTGGAGACAAAAGCCCCAATCCTTCTGCTGATCCTCAGGGAAAAACTATGCTTTCAATGCCCAGACTTACGTGCCTGACATGCTTGCCTCCTCACACTCTCCTAACATCACCAACAGTGCATGGAGAGAGCTTTATCTTTCCACCCTGCTACCTAAGATGAAACCAGTTGCTGCAAGAAGCAGTGCCTCTGGGAGCAGAACCAAGGCTGACGGCTATGCTATTGCTTCACTCCCTGAGCTGCTATCCGGTGGGTAGAAATCACAAGACCAGCACAATCAATCCTGGTGGGGCACGTAGCCCTATAGTTGACTTTTTCCAAAGTATTTAGCTATTTTATCTGAACATAGCTGGTGCTCACTAGATATGAGCACCCAAGTATTTTTCACTGTAGTCCAAGCAAAAATTGATGTATTGCTTTGGCTGTGAGTGTTAAAAAGAGTCTGCCTTTGGGCTGAAAAAAAGAACCTTAGAAAATCCTTAAAAAAAACTCCCAGCAGTGTCAGAAAAATGACAAGAGACTGAAGCAAGGGCTTTATAATGGAGTGACTCTTCCAATCAATTGGCATGAGTTAATTAATTAATTGCTGCAGTTGTGATGACATTCCCTCTGGCTGAGTAATCAGGAAATCAGCCACCTGAGGCTCTTAGGGAGTTAATTGCCTTAAACTTTGATAAAGCAGAATGATAATACCATTTTAAAAATGCTGTCAGTGCACATTTCTTCTCTTCTGGGATCTTGCAAACCAATTCTTCATTTTGCAGAGCAAATCCTTTTGAGTTTTACTTGGAACAATTGAGTAATGGAGACAGATGAGGTGGAGAAACAGGGAGCAAACTGTGAAGTGTAAGTTCTATACAATCTGAAACAGAAGGTGTGCTTATGAAATTGAAATACTCCAAATCACTCTGTAAACTTTCAGTGCCCATCCAGACCCCCATGCTTGAAGTACTTTTTGTCTGGCAGAGAGTGGAGTTTCCCTAGTCTGCCTGAACCTCTGAGTAGCTCATCTCTTTGAAGCTACTTATGGAAACCCTTCTACTTTTATTAAACCTGATTTTATCTTGAAGTAGTGGCAGAAATGAGAGAACTATTCTGAGAAGAAAAGAAAGCCCATTCTCTCCCCTTTCTCAACTGTTTCTCAGGCTGAAGTTGATGTTCTCTGTGCTTTAGACCTCATCCCACCCCCCAACTGAGTTCTTCACAAAACCTTTGGCAGAGAGTCAGTGCCATTGGTGGAAATGGGTATTTTTGGATAGAGCTCCTCCTGGCTTCCCTTTAAGGAGGAAAAACAGAAGCCTTTGAAAGATGTCAAACTGTCCTGAAGCAAAGCTAGTCCTCTCCCAGCAGTGGCAAAATCACTGTCAGATGAGCAAAGACTGAATTTGTTTTGTGTCTGGCTGCCTGCTTCTCAGGCTGTCTGTCTCTGTGCTTTCTGTGCACGTTGTCCTTGTTTTTGTGTGGTTGCAACACTGCAGTCTTCTCTAGGTGTGCATCTTTACTTCTGCCTGGGGCTCAATCTGTACAAAGCTTAGACTTCCTACCGACTGGTGGAGAGAAAGACAATGCCTACTTGGAAGTCAGCACCCCGAGGACTCCTCAGCCAGAGCTTGGTGGAAATCTTCACCTTTTCTTGATGTTTCTATTTGGCAACAATCCAAAAAAAAAAAAAAAAAAAAAAAAAAAAAAAAAAAAAAAAAAAAAAAACCAAAAAAAACCAAAAAAAGAAGTTGGAAGAAAGAAACCAATTGAATAAAACTCAACTTTATCCTTTTAAAGTTCATCACATGAGAGACAGGGTTCATACAGTAGAAATGGGCATATTGAGGACCAATGATATCCATTCCAATCATTTTTGTCAGCTGTTTTACAGTGATTGTTAGTTTGTTGTTTTTTTTTTTTTTTTCTGTCAGAGAGAGAAAAGCTTTTAGAGTCTTGCTATTATTCCATAATTCAGGGTTTGTTAAAAATGAAATCTAGCTCTTTAGATAATGGAGGAAAGCTTAAAATCATTAGTCCTGCAGCCTCAGAAAAGAGAACAAAATCGAAAGAGTCTTGTGTTTTAAGTGGCAGTTTTAAAAGTTGCAAAATTTTTATAGGGGCAAATTTACAATTTTCGTAGAATTTTTTGAGCTGGAAGGGATCCTTGAAGGCCATTGGATCCAACTCCCCTGCAATGAACAGGGACACCTACAACTCGATCAGGGTGCTCAGAGTCCCTCCATCCTGACCTTGGATGCCTCCAGGCACCACCACTCTTTGGGCAACCTGTGTCAGTGCCTCACCGTCCTTATTGTAAAAACCATCTTCCTTACATCCTGTCTAAATCTCACTCCTTTTAATTTGAAACAGTTTCACCATTTTCTTGTTACCTGAGCCTGGCCAAACTGTGTTTTTTCCTTCTTCTACCAACCTAAAGGTTTTCTGGCTTCTGGGGGCCATTTGGCGAGGTGACTACAGGTTTGGTTTGTCGGATCTCCACACTGCAGTCCGAAATGGACTCCCAGTGAGGGACGTCACTGTCCTCAGATACAAATAGCCGTTCATCCCTTCTATCTTATCTCTCAGCCACTTTGTGGGAGCGCATATACATATTATTAAATATAAATACAAACCCCAGGCACACATTTTTATCCTTAAGTAATAAAATCTAATGGAAGAATTTACAGTCATGGGTTATAAAGCAATAATAGTTGTAAAATCATTTAGCAGGGTTCAAATACAGGTGAAAGGAGAAGTTCAGAAGTTCAGCATTTAAATATGTTTCCTGGCAGATTCCTATGACAAACAAAAAATCCCCTACTGACATGGTACCAGTAATGAAAGCCCAGTACTATTCTCAGCTCTCAACTTGTATTTTTGAGACCATGGTTTGTTCAGATCTATTACTTTTAATGTACCCTTTCTAAAGATCACATTATTTAGCAGGATAGTGGTACGACTGTTGAAAAGGTCAGTGCAAAGGAAATGAATCCAAATGTCTGCTTGTTCTGCCTCTGCAGCCCTGTGTGAAGAGAATCTACTTTCTATGTCAAACACGACACTCGTAGACAATGCTAATGGACACCACTAAAAGTGTGGTGCAAGTAGGACTGGGCTCTGTTTTTACTGGCACCTAATGCCCCTCCAAGCTTACGTGTATATTGCTTATGTTGCAGTTTATGTCACTTCTAGCAAGTAGTAATTTCTAGAAACTACAGCTACAGGCCATTCTAAGTTGAGCAATGACTTCGCTATATGTCTTCACTGTGCCAAAGCAGAAAATAACCTGCTCTGTCCTTGAGCGTTTGAGCCTGTATTCCTGTGCCTCTTTTGCTTATGGGTTTAAGGATCAGAAGAATGAAAGCAAACAGAATCTAGGTCTCAGAAACAACACAAAGCATATGTCACAGGACTGGCCCAAAAGTCCAGGTCCTTTCTGCTGAGTGGTGCTGGCCCAAAGCACTGAGACATATACCATATACAAACCCACAGCTGTTGTCAGTTCTGCCTCTGAGCTGCATTACTTATCATCCTGCTTGAACCTTGCCCTAATGATGATAACAGGTGATAAGTTGTAAGGTTGCTCACTGGATAAGAAGATAACTTTGCCCTGTGCTTCATTTCGTAATTATTTTTTAAAGAAGAAATGATTAGAAGGTGTGAGATGTGCTAATAAACAGAGTGTACTTTCTCTCAATAAAATGGACTCAATTTCTTCAGGGAGCATTTCTAGCATTCTGCTAGCAGAATGGAGATAGCAATGATATGTTCAACTCAAGAACTTCAGCATTGCTTGGTCCTTGACACTTTTTAACTTCATTAACCTTGGCAATCTCAACTACTTACAGAAAATGAAGGCTGTGCTCCCAGACAGGCCCCAGTTAATGGCGTATCTGAAGAAATATTGCCACTGGGAGAAGAGAATTCATCTGCTGATCTCTGCTTTGTCTCCCTGAGACCTTCAGGTAGCCTCATTCCCTTGAGAGGATGGTTCTGCTCTCTAAGCACTGCTGCATGAGGCAACTGAGCCAAAAAATTTCCTCCAGCTTTACCAGCAGCTGAGCAGAAGCATCACGTATAGGATGGCTCACGCACTGGAGGCAAACATTTAGAGAACAAATTTAGCACTATCTCAAGCAATATAGCAATTGGTTGCAGCATTTTATCTGCATCCTTACTATCCTTCAGGACATCGTGGACAGGTGAATGGTTGATAGCACACAAGATCAGGCCTCACCAGCTCAGCAATAGCTCTTATTGCTGTGGATGTTGGGACCTGCAGATGGAGACTGGCCAAACTGGTCAGGCTAGCAATGTTCTTGTAATGGCTTGTGAGGCTTTGATTCCCAGAGTAGCAAGTGCTAGCAACAGAAAATAGCACACTGGCAAACAGAAAACAAGAAGTGTTATGGATGTGAACACAGATATCAAAACCTCTCATTTACAAGGTTCTTCGTGTTGGATTTCCAAGGAAACAGTTTGCATGGGCCAGTTTAGCCTATGAAAAAGATCTCCCTCTGCACTCTCCGTGGAAGGTTTAGAGAGCCCAAAATGGAGTCCATGCCTTTGCAAGGTCTGTTGAGGGGCCTGAAGTTTTACCTAGTATGTGAGGTTAAGTGCCAGCCACAGCACCTCCAGGAGTCCCGGTGTCTTGATAAAAAGCAACCAGATAAATGCATGCAAGGAGCATCACACATAAAAAAATAAAATGCTTAGAATGCACTGTACAGTTCTGCTTCCTAGGAAAAAAAAAAAGTTTCTTTCATCTTTATGCTTTCACACAGACACAGAAATAGAAAGTGAGTCAGCTGACTATTATCTTCACTCTGGAAAGGGGCTGAATGAGTGTTTGAATGGTAGAAGAGTGGTTCTCACTGAGGCACTTCAGGGTTAAACCTTATGGGCCACCTCATTTTTCCATATTTAGCTTCATGCTCCTTTTCAGCTCTGCCAACACCCCTGCCTGGTTTATGACCTCTCTCAAATAGTGTCTTGGGACTCTGGAGCTGTTAGGAGCCATTGTATAATTGTAAATGACTTAAGTTGGTAGGGAGCCTAATTGCTGCTAAATGACTCGATTGTCTTGTACAGATAGCAAGGAGATCTCTTTGCTCCCATCACAAGTGCACAGTACAGGACTGGGGTCATACAGCAGGTGGCTGATAAAGAAAATGCAAAGGCAGCTGGTCTGCCTGGTCGGTTGGACACCTATTTCCAGTCTGGGCTGAGAGAGATCTGGTCCCATGTAGGAAAGCTTGTGCAATGAGCAGTTTGCTGTTGAAGAGTTCTGTTTCCCTCGTTTGATCACCTAATTGGCAGGGTGGGCTGGCGCTGTCAGATGCAGGAGCAGTGGGGCAGCAAGTCATCCAGCTCTGGCCTTTGTATCTACTGTTTTCACTTCTGGGAAATGGGAAAAAAATAAAAGAGAAAAAGGGAAAAAAGATTGTAAGTGGTGCTGCCACACACCTGTCTCAGGGAGTCAAAAAGCAAGGGCTTTTAGGATTTACATAATGGAACAGCAGTGCTCAGAGTGTGGGGCTGCACCAACCTCCCCCAATGGCCATCAATCTGCTTTGCCTCACCAGCTGAGATATTTAGGAACAGCATCTTTTAAGAGAGAGGATCAGGATAGGGCCAGGCTGTATTGTGAGTTGACACATGTAATGCATTCTTCTTCCACTCAGAGTCAAATACAAGGCTGAATGGACTCTATATAAACTGGAAATTGAAGATACAGGGCAACACATGGTAAAATACTGAACTCCACCATTCAGTAAACCCTGGATTTATTTTATTTCTCCATGGTATTTTGTGAGCATTGCCACTGTGTTGGGCAGTGCAACTACTGCTTAGAGCATTTCTTTTAAACGTGAATTTTGTTGCAAAGGAGAAAAAAAAAAGTGATGTAAAAAGAAAGATATAAAGTTTCAGTCTATAGTAGGATAAATGAGGTAATGCTTAGATTAAACAATATTACCAAAGTAGCATTGATTCTGAGAGATGTTTCTGGGTGTGAGAACTGCATGCTACTGCAGAGCTCAGCAGCAGAAAGGCAGCTGTGATGCCTTCAGTTAATGAACATACTCCTGCCTTTGTCATTCTGGATGCTGGCTTTACATTATCTGACTAATACACAAGGTTGCTTTGAGTTTTAATGAGGTTCCCACCTAATGTATTGCTTCCATTTGAATTTGGCTTTGAGCACCAGGTATTTTTGTAGCCAAAGAACAAAACACTGGGGTTTTGAAATCATTCCTGCTCGGGGGAAAAAAACCCATTAGCACAGTCTCGTGCAGGAGCCTGTGTTCAGGAAGAGTGGTGGCATTGTGCTCAGTGTGATACTGTGAGATGTGGCAAGATAAATCATTTTAATCACAGAGCCAGCAGAGAATGTTGCTTTCTCCCTTCAGATATCCAGATGACCCAGGTGTAAGAATGAAGGCAATAATCCCTTGAAAGGACTTGTAGCTGCTACAGCAGCAAGATTTAAAGCACCATAGAGTGGAAATATATGGGAAACATCTGTCAATGCATCGGCATTTTTAAACATGGAGAGGAAAATAATAAAAAACAGCCAACAAAGAAACCCCCAAGTGGACAAAATGGAGTCTGGCTGAGAAAAGGGAAGGACCAGACAGGAAGAACGTTGCTTTTCTTTTGCTGAGATTTGCCAAGCCATAAACTCACTTTGTTGTCCTTTAGTTCTGCGTTGACTCCACAGTACTCCCAGGGGACTCCACCTAAAATGTCAGAGTTATATTTACAGCAGGGAAATTGGAGGTTTGCAGGAAGCTTTGTAGAAAGCCCTGAAAGCACTCCAGCGGACTGTGGGTACTTTGATTATTTTCTTTGGTGAGCTCTCCGTGGAGAAAAGCTGAGCTGAGGCAGTGCTGTGTGTAAGAAGGCGCAGAGGGATGAGCGTTGGTGTCGCCCTGCGGAGCCCAGGTGCTTTGGGAATACTGCCATTTTCAGGGATCGTAGAATTATATAATGGCTTGGGTTGGAAGAGAACGTAAAGCCCACTCAGTCCAATTCCCTGCCATAGGCAGGGCTGCCACTCACCAGCTCAGGCTGTCCAGAGCCCTATCCAACCTGGCCTTGAGCACCTCCAGGGATGGGGCACCACAGCTTCTCCGGGTAGCTGTGCCAGTGCCTCACCGCCCTCTGATTAAAGAATTTCTGGTTAACATCTTGTCCTGGTTTCAGCTGGGCTAGAGTTGATTTTTTTCATAATGTCAGGTATGATGCTTATATTTTGGTTTTAGAGGAAAAACAACGTTGATAACAAACCAATGTTTCTGTTGTTGGTTAGCAGTGCTGTACAGAGCCAAGGATGTTTCAGTTCTCAGCTTCTCATGCTGTCCTGCCAGTGAGGGAGGCTGAGGGGGCACAAGGAGCTGGGAAGGGGCAAAACCAAGACAGCTGACCTAAAGTGGCTAAAGAAATATTCAATAGCATATGACATCATTTGAAAAAAAAACCGTAAAACTGAGGGGAGTTGGTGATGGGTGGAGGTGGCTGCCATTTCATGTGAACTGGCTGGGTTACTGGTGGTGAGCAATTGTTTTGAGCATCACTAGTTTGTAAATATATGTATGTAAATTCATATGTAATTATTTTTATTTCTCCCTTCTTTTTCTGTCTTTGTAAATTGGCGTTATTTCTATCTATGAGTTGTAATTTTCTTTTTCCAGTTCTTTTCCCCATCCCGCTGAGAGGATGTGAGTGAGTGAAGGACTGTGGTGTTTAGCTGTTTACCAGGTTAAACCACTACACATCTAACCTAAAACTCCCCTATTCTAGTTTAAAGTCATTCCCCCTTGCCTTACCACTATTAGACTGTGTAAAAAGTCAATCTCCCTTCTGCATATGAGCTCCCCTAAAGTACTGGAAGGCTAAATGAGGTCTCTGAGCCTTTCCCTCGCCAAGGTAAACAAACCCAACTCCCTCAACCTTTCTTCATAGGAGAGGTGCTCCAGCCCTCTGATCTTCTTTGTGGCACTCCTTTGGACTCACTTGAAGTAGCTCCTCATCTTTATTGTACCAGGGTCCCTAGGCCTGGATGCAGTAGTCTAGATGGGATCTCATGAGTACAGAGAAGAGGGGGACAACTACCTCCCTCTCCCTGCTGCCACCCCTCTTCCAGTGCAGCCCAAAACACAGTTGGCCTTCTGGGCTGCAAACTCACTCTGCTGGCTCATGTCCAGCTTCTTGTCTACCAGGACCCCCAAGTCTTTCTCCACAGGGCTGCTGGATCGCCAGGAGTAGAATCCAACATTTAAATAGTTAAAAACACATCTAACTTTGGGTAGCTGGTTGACTTCATTGATGAAATGTGAACTACCTGATTGTAGGAAGGAGCTGGTGGGAGGAAACTCTTGCCAAGCTGCCCATGAAATGCAGTCCTCGACTGAAGTGTGCCTCTGATAAAAGGCTTCCCTTAACAGGAGTATGGCTTCCCTTAAAAGAAGGATGGCTTCCCATGAAAGCGAATGCAAACCAGATAATAAGAAGTTAATAGGTGGGAGTACAGCCAGTTCTCTGTATAGTACATGCAAAGTAGTTTGACATCCCTGAAAAATAAGGTCCTTTGGGGATCAGCCAAGGAAAAAGGCCTTTGTTTTCTGTTAAGAAGTTACTGTGGTCTGAACACCCCTAGAAAGATTTCTTCTTGAGCTGTATTTAGGCAGCAAAGATCACCATTACCAGCAGAGAAATCGGGAGGCTTTTTTCAAAGTGATTTTTATTGTCACATAGATCTCAAAATTGACAGCATGTGCAAGGGAGAGATTTTATTCACTTCAAGTACATGCAAGAAGTGACTATGAAAGCATGTATGAATGACACAGGTGTGCCAGCACTGTCTAGGAAACTACCTGGGGCCATCTGAAAAAAGGAGATGTCTTTGCTTAGATACAGCTTCTAGGAATATAGTTCAATAGTGGCCTCTGTGTTGAAACTGTTTGGTGACTCGCCAGATTATTTCTCTGCATTGGCCCTAACTAGATGTATCTTGACTCTCATCATAGTATCATAGAATCGTTTGAATTGGAAGGGACCCTTAAATGCCATCAAGTCCAACTCACCTGCAATGAACAGAGACACCTACGTCTAGATCAGGGTGCACAGAGACCCTCCAGCCTGACCTTGGATGTCTACAATGATGGAACAATCACCATGTGCCATTTTACTGCAAGGCGACATTTAGCATGACTGGTGCCCTGTGATCCACTCTGTATAGAAACATAGGCATGCCAGTGATATTTCTGAGCTGAAGGAATAGGTGCTATCTCTGGGAGAGGTAAGTTATTTGTTGTACTTTGCACCCGCTTTTAAATTTTTTTTGCACTGGGAGCTTGTAATGATCCTAGTGAGTTAAAATCAGATTTTCAGGGGTGGCTCTTCACTGCCAACAAAAGAAAAAAATCATCAAGAGTTTCTTCTTTGCTGCTAAGAAATACTCACCCCTCGGGAATGATGCCAACTGAGGACTGTGAGTGATTCTGGAAGCAGCAGGCAGGCAAATCACTTATTTTATTAGCTATATTTTGCAGCCCAGTATGTTTGTATAGTAGATACATATTTTGCATAAAATCTATGGCTGATGTTGTGCTTTTTATCAGGGAGTGCTATTTTTTACAGCTGCTCTTTTAAGTGTCAGCACTGAGCATTTGTTGATGTCATCAACTGAGCTTTATATTGCTTTTTGAAGCGATATGGCTGTTCCAAAGCTTTGTACTTTGACAGGGATCTCACAGTTACTGGGGAGAGATGCAACCACACTTGAAATAATTTTCACTCTTTGCATGGCCACGTTTATGGCATTTGTAAAACTCTGTGCAATTTTATGGCGTTTATAAGGCAGTCCTGTTTTATGGCAGTTGGGAAGAACTTTGTTTTCCATGAAAAACGGACTACATTTGTTTCAGTGGGAGAGTGTTTCAGTGCCACAGAGGCATGTAAAGCACATCGAAACTTTCTGGGCACAACAGAAAACTCTTTTGAGGATAGCAGCAATTAAATTGTTCTCTGCCTTTGGTGCACAAGTGGTTATTCTTTTTTTGTGGTAAAAAGTGTTTACTGCTCTGCATGATATGTATGAGAAAAGAGTGCAGCAAAAGAACCTCTGTAGTTAAGAATTTTAAAGCAGAACCTCATGAAAAATGTATGTTTATATTCACACACATATATGAAAAGGTGCAATCATATCCAGAGACTGGTAATATTCTTGCATTGACACTGGTAAAACTTACTTCCATGCAAGGAGCCAGAGAAGAGGTTTTGGTACTTTGCTTAGTATCTCCCTCATTAACTTGTCCCTATTTGCAGGATGCTGATGCTCTTTGGTCAGAATTAAACAAGGAGTGCCACTGAATACCTCAGTCATTTTTATTCTTTGCAGCTGTTTAACCTTCAACACCCATGGACAACTTCCCCCCTCCTCACCTCCCTTCTGAGGGCTTCACCCTTAGCCATAATTGGAGAAAAAATCTGGAGAGGGGCTGAAGGTGAGATTTCTTAGAGCTGCTAATTAGCTGATGCCATCACATTAGAATTACAATCGAATTCCTTGGAGGACTCCAGAGCCTGTTCTCCCCGACTCTGAGACACATGGGGAATTTATCCTCAGAAAACAGGGACAGATGATTAGCGCCAACACCCTCAGTTCCCTGAACAGTCTGATAGAAAGTGGGTTGGTTTAAGGGCCTTGGCTGGAATTAAAGAGGTTCCTTTCAAGTTTCTTTTTTTTTTTTTTTTTTTTTTTCTTTTTTTTTTCTATATCCTTCTTTCAAAAATAATAATAATAATAATAATAATGAAGTTCACAAGCTAACTGAACAGAATGTGAAATTCGATGAGGGAAATTTCTTCTCCAGAGCTTTTCAGTTTGGGAGGAAGGGAAAAACAACAGCAGCTCTGCTGACAATAAAATTCAATTAGGGTTGAACTACCATTGATTGTTTTGATTTCATTTGTGTTTATCTTTTAATTAAGCCTTCTTCATCTTATTATCTTTTTTTCTTACTTTTTTTGGTTCTCTTTCTTTTTGTGTCATTCAGGGGTAACTGTCTGGTTAGCTGGAATGAAAAGCCATACTTCTTTTTTTGCTTTATTTGCCAGGCTGCATGGTAAAGACAGACTTCTAAGAAGACAACTATCAAGTTGGAAGGAAGTGTTGATCTGCCTGAGGATAGGAAGGCCCTGCAGAGGGATCTGGGCAGGCTGGATCAATGGACTAAGGCCAATTGTGTGAACTTCAACATGACCAAGTCTGGGTCCTGCATTTTGGTCACAGCAACCCCATGCATCACTATAGACATGAGGCATGGCAGCTGGAAAGCTATATGGAGGAAAAGGTTCTGGAGGTATTAGTTGGCAGCCAGCTGAACGTGAGCCAGCAGTGTGCCCAGGTGGCCAAGAAGACCAATGGCAGGAGCAGGGAGGTGACCATCCCTCTGTACTCAGTTCTGGTGAGGCTGCACCTTGAGTGCTGTGTTCAGTTCTGGGCCCCTCACTACAAGAAAAACATCATGGATCTGGAAGATGGGGCCTGTCTGAATTAGGGATTTAATTTCCCTGTAAATTCTGTGGGAAGAGCTAGGTGCATTTACAGACCCAAATCCTCTGCATAAAGTGGGAAGCCTACTCAAACATATCAACATGGCACATGACCTGTCTCAGAGGCTGAAGCAGGAACTATTGCTGAAGCTGTCTGTCAATACCAGTGTTAAAGGTGAGGCAATCGCCACTACTACAGACCCTAGGCAGATAGCCATGGCTGCACCTTAGACCTGCTGTTTACAGCTGTTCACCAGGATGTGAGTCCTTCACTTTTGTCTGGAGAAAGATGGGATGCACAGCTCTGATTTGAGGGAGGAATGGTTTTGGGGATGGAAGGGACCTCTATAGAGTAATTGCTTTTCAGTTTGTGTCATGGTGCTGATAGGAGTGCAAAAGTTGTGGAGTCAGGAGGAGAGCAAATGTGAAAGAGCCCAACCAGGACCCAGTGGTCAGGACAGTGCACTGAGAGAAGTGGGACTGGGGCTTGTCTCCTGGTTTGACATCCCTCCTTCTTGGAAAACCAAGGTACAACATTTTTTTTTTCTTCTTGTAAATACTTACACTGAGCAAGAATCGGTTATTGCGTTACAGTATGATAAAACATTTCCTGGGCTAGTGTTGAGTCCTGCAAGGGCTTAGAAGATGTTGTTTCCCAGAAGAGAAGGAACTAATTTTCATAGCTCTTTCAGTGCTGTTGTTTGCTGTAACATAGAGATTTAATGTTATGAAAGCAACATTGCTAAGGTAGCTCAGCTAAGCATACAGAAAATAAAAGATGTGCCACTGTGTACTGTTGTTTTTGTACAGACAGCAGCTTTAGGACAGGAGAGCAGTAAATTGCCTGGAATGATATTAAGTGTTGGAACACTGTGCTAATGCCAGTTTGCACTTGCATAACCCCCAGTTTGCACTTGCATAACCCCCAGGGCAACATCAATGGGCCAACGGCTGTGGTTCTGTTCAGTAAGTAGGTATGAAAAGTTTTTTTCCATCATGCACCTATATACCAGCCTCTGGTTCTGCCAAAGACAATGGGCATTTTCCTGTTTTCTTGTTGATCTCAACAGGGACTGAATCAGACTTTCACGGTCACACTTACAAGCTTTCCCAGAGCCATCTCCCACATGCAGTTACAAAGTGCTGAACAGCAGATAAGTTTGGGGTTGGTCCAGTGTGGCTGGTTTTGTGTTCTTTTGCTCCTACTTTCAGTAAAACAAGCAGTTTAACAGTAGAATTTATTCTTTAACCCAGTAGACTTCAAGCAGTTTCATTCAAGAAACACACATGTACATACACACACACATTTACAAACACGCATACACTCACCAGATATACATATTTATATAACATCTTATTACTGCCTTTCAGTAAGTTACTACATAATTGGGTAATAAAATGCCTCCTGCTCTAATCAGAATCTTTCCATCAGAGTCGATGAGAATTTTCAGCTTTGTTCATAGCTCAAAGAATTCTTATCCGCATCGCTAGCCACTCTCCAGTGGCGCTCTGTGCAACACCACAGGCTGAAGCTGAGTAAAGAAAAAAGTAGCTAAATCAAACAGTAAAAGACGTAGGAAACCCCAAGAGGGTGAAGTGAATACTCTGCTCTGCCCTCTTTTGTGCTTGTATTGTGACAGTCCTTAATTAAGTGATTGCTGGATGTTTTTTCCCTGTGGGATCTGATTTCATTGAATGCATGGGATGGAAGGACTCATTGAATGACAGGTCTTATGGAGGACCTTTTCATTATTAATTGTGAGCTTTCAGGCCTTATATGCTGCCTGCTCTGGCACTGGAAGGATTTTGAGACCCCTGATCTCTATGCCATGCTCTTCTCAGGGGCATCTGAGCCCCACAACTCAATTTTCAGGTGAGGAAATATAGTCTCTCTGATGCAGGAGGGAATCAAGAAAGGCACAGCTGGAAAAGGCTGAGAGCACTCCTGAGCTTTGCACACTGCCATCAAGTAGCGTCAAATAGAGCTGTAGCGTGATCCAGACAAGCAAAGCATGAGGAGGAGCCTTCCACAAGTGATCCCCAAAACTCAACCACCAGCTAAGCATCTCCTGGGAATTCAGTGGCACAAACCTGAACCTCATCACAGTTCAGATCAACTCTTTGTCCCTGGTTCATTGCTACGCAACTCCCCTATCTTGGCTCTATGAAACTATAGGTGTACTTGCTGGTGGCACCTCCCTGGCCTCCCATTAGAGAATCCTCAATCAACTAGCATCGCTCTTCTATTTATAGCATTTCTATTTCCCCTCTCCATTTCCCAGTCATCCTTTATCCACAACTTCTTGCCAGGCCCCCTCTCCTGAGGAATTTTTCCCTATTATTAGGTAGAGAAGGTTTCTCCACCATCTTGCTCCTGTGGTTAAGGTGGTGGGGCACTCAGAAACCAGTGCCAACAATCTCTTCTGGCTGTCATGAGAGTCTGGGCCATGCACTGCCCACAGCAAGCTGAGCTGTCAGAATAAGCTTTGCACAGAGCATCGACTCTGTGCCTTTACAGCATTGAGGGACATGCTTAGTGGGCATAGTTATGAGGGATTGACGGTTGGACCAGATGATGTTAGTGGTTTTTTCCAACCTTAAAGATTTTATGATTCTTCAGGGAATGTAACTGTTATAACCGGAAGGACTGGAAATAAACCTGTGTGAACTGATTCTCTTCAAAGACTGATACTTTGCCCAGATGACAGTTGTCGGTGGCAATGACAGCAAAAAGAACAGTTGACAGAAAAGACTGCCTCCGTGCCAGATTTCAAGCTCTTGCTCTAAGCATTGTTCCCTTTTGAAAGGGTACCAGAATTTTGTCACAATGAGCAAAACAGCGTGTTTTCCCCAGACTCTTTATCAAGGAAGACTGAATCGCTTGAAGTTAAGACACCGGCCTGAGGCAGACAGGTAACACAGAAAACTGTTAACTTGAAGGTTAAAATTTGGTAGAATTCAAAGTGTCTGAGAGTGCGGGAATTGCACGGAGGAGTGCTTGTTAAATGCCATCAATAAAAGATAGTACAAACACCTGCAATGCAGACTGAGACTTAGGACTCCTTGATGGGAACCTGCATTTCTTTAAAAAGAGGAGGGGATAGCCCTGGCAATCATATGGTAGACCCTGAACACTACACACTTATGTACCCATACAGACATAGAATCATTTGAGTTAGAAGGGCCATGTGGTCCAACTCCCCTGCAATGAACAGGGACATTCACAGCTGGATCAGGGTGCTCAGAGCACCTTGACCTTGGAAGATGGGGTATCCACCATCTATGTGGGCAGCCTGTGCACATCCCCCACCATCCGGACTGTAAAAAACTTTTTCCACATACTCAGCGTAAATCTCCCCTCTTTTATTCCCCCTTTTTTTTGTGTGTGAAAACTGGGGAGAAGGCCTCTCTGAGTAGCTTCTTACACCATCAAGTGTTTCATGGCAGTAAGGAGGTATTTTCCATTGCCTGGTGCGCTTACAAAGACTGTGCACCCATTCCCTCCCCAGGAATCCTGGCAGCATTGCGAAGGACGGCCCTGTGTTCAGGGCAGTAAAAAGAGATTAGCCAAAGGAATAAAGCAAAAGCAGCAGTAGGTTTGTTCTCTAAATGCATATAGGCAGGAAAAAAAAAAGGAGGAAATAGCAAGGCTTCAGAGAGTGACAAGCAAGGTTGATGTTGCTGCAGGCCCTAAATGATTTCTTAGCTTCAGCAGCCACAAACAAAGCAAAAGGTACCATCCTGGAGTCAAGAGCTTGTTTCCTGCAGAGAAAGAAAGAGAAGTGTTAAATTAGCTCTTTCTATTGTTGAGGAGCAGATGAAATGGCTCTTTCTGCTATTGGAAGTGTTTGAAATGGTTAAAAGCTGACAAGGCCCGAGGGGTTTGTAAATAGCAGCACCTACATTTAATTGAAGATGATGAAGAATTCAGTGAGATTCTGCCCTGTAGATTTGACTTCAGCTGCATGACAAAGATGAGGAATGCAACGGCAAAGAATGTGATTATTAGAGCAATTTGAAGTGCAGGTAAAGGGGCAGCTGCCACGAATTCATGGCACGTGCTTGATGGCTGATACTCTTTAATCCTTTAACCGGCTGCAGATCATTTAGGTGGCCATCATGTATCACGTGATGTCACATGATGCTACAAGCTGTCCCATGAAGGCACACACTCTCCCTGAAATGACTGTGAAAACAGCTATTTGGGTAATTAATTCTTTGCCACTTTGAGATGCAGATTTTTTTTTTTTTCTAGCTGATAAAAAAAATAAATTTATTTAGGTTTTCTTGTAAAACATTTACTCTAAAACCCCTTAGCAACTTTGACACCAGGTTTAATTTTGATCAAATGAATGAAACAGCGCTGGAATCTTTTGAGAATCTCCCAGCTCTGAAGAGATGGAATGAAAGGCTGTTTCCCTTCCTGCCCTTTCCATTCTGACAGGCTTCAGGAGGCCAGGGGTGAGCTTTTATTGCTAGTCCCTTGAAAACAACATTAGTCTGTGTGGGTATTTTGGATAGACGCTGTGAAAGATGTATTTCAACAAAAGTAAGAACGTGTGAAATGGCCTGGAAGTGAGCTAAAAACTGGCCCAGGGACAGAACAGGTTTGCCTGAAGACACAAGCAAAGAGGATGTACCACAAGAAACATTTTTGGAAAGAAACAAGATCTCCTGGTTGGAAGAAGGTCCACCTGAATTATTCCACTAACCACTATGATTTGAATTAAGCTCTTATTTGCATCCAGACTTTTTGGTTGACCTCCCTGAGTTGCACATAAGTGTGGTCATTTCATTCTTGAGTTAAACCGATACAATTTTTTCAAATATAAAAACACACAAAACTATTGAGAGTCAAAAAGGGAAGAGAAAAATAGGTGAGACCGGAAATCCAAGC